AATTGAACCGAAAATGTTTCGGTTCAGTTTCAGTTCTTCCGTTCAGTTCAAATAAAGAAACCGAAACTGAACTGAACCGGAACCGGCCGTTCGGATTCGGTTCAAACCGAACTTTAAACCTAATTAACGTAACTTAATAATGAGAAGCTTGGATCACAACAGGAGTCTGGGTGAGCTTGGCACGAAAACTCTTCCCTTTTCACCAAAAAATTCACTTTATTGGTTTATCGTTATTATTTATATTTATATTTTATTTAATTTAATTATTCTATATATGTATCTCAACAGGAAGAGGAAGATAATCTGGATTGTTTACTAAAAAATCCATTCAACTAAGTAACTGCTATCTTATTCCATTATTAACCCATTTCTAGTATTATATGTTGTCTAGAATCCGCCTATCTTACTCCATTATTAACCCATTTCTAGTATTATATGTTGTCTAGAATCCGCCGAAATTCAAAATTGAAAATAGTTGTAGTTTAATAGTTACACGCTCGTACAAAATGGCTATCTATTATGCCTTCAAAAAAGGAAGTATTAACGAAAGCATTTATTGTTGATATGATTTTTATTTAGGTATCGATAACGGACAAACAAAGAGTGTAAATTGTTTAAATAGCTTCATTTCTTACATTCGAGTAAATTAGGCTGTTCTGCTCCTTGATCATGAAAAATCTGACAACAGTTGATATAGTCGCTACCTTCGTATTTGGGGGAGGATTTTTGGTAAATTATTAAATGTTGTTTTATAATAATTTCTACTCTTAAATTCTAATTATATTATCTTGTTGATATTTTTACAAAACGCTTTTTATATAGCGTTTTGTCTAAATTTTTTTCGGAGGGACCCCGTATTTTGGGGTGCTAAATTTTGTTATAACTTATATTGCTGCCTTGGTTCAGTATGGTTTCTTGTAGTAAAGCTAGAGAGTGGGAATCCAGTAACATATTACATTGTTCAGTTGATAAATCGCATAACACTCTCTTTTATTTTAACTATAAAAATACATCAAATTTATGAGAGTATTCACCCAAGGAATAACAAAGGATTTTTGGACTTAATAATTTCTGTATTTCTTAAACGTAAAGTAGTTGGTCTGACTACTATTTTCTTAATTGCTCACTTGATTTTTGAGGTATTTATTTATTTTTAATAATTTGTTTATGGATTGGTAAATATTCGACTAATTTTACTAATTTTTGAATTTTAGGGTCTATTATTCAGTACTCTCATCCAAGTTAATTGTAATGATACTGATACTGATTTTAGTAGTTGTAAAAAAAAAATTGAATTCGACCTGGAATTTAATGAATTCTCAAATGATACCCCTTCATATGCTGCAATGATGCTTGCTGTCATAGCCCTGTCGGGAATAGTGATGCGACTTGAGAATAGGTACCAACTTAGAATAAACGGAAAACAACCTTTAATTAGGTTTTCTCAAGGGTGGAATCTTGGCGGAATTATTGTTGTTTGTTCGTATCATATATTGAGGCTTATTTATTGGAGTCGTAAGAAAGCAGAAGAAGATCAGTTAGAGGCATCAAATATGACAGGGATCCTCCAAATGGTATTTGAGGTTATAAGAGTGTTAATCTCGTACTTTATTACCTATGACATTTATTTTGCAAATGAACGTGATGTTTTCTACTTGTATTTGCAAGAAGGAGAAATTGGCAAAGACTAGTGATAGAAGTTTTTTCATTATTTTCATGTAATTTATTATTTTCTTCATTGTTTTCGAGTTATTATTTTTAATAAACAATGTGATTATCCACACCAAACACTACGAAAATTAACTGAATTTTCTCTGTATCTAATCATTTGAATTTCATAATTGGTCGTAAGACGATTAATTGTCGTCCCCATGTGTTGGGCGAAGTTCGAGTACATTCATCACGTGTTGTTCCTTCTTTTCAGCGTGAGGCTAGTTAAGGTTCAAAGAAACCGAGCCTGGCGAGAAAATTTTACATATAAAGTATTAAATTTGCGAGAACATTTGTGACATAATACAAGCTTGTCCATAAGTTAACTATTAACAGGAATTACAAGAATTTAGAAATCAAAAAGCTCTTGATGTATTTTTGGCATGGGCATGAGAAGTGGAAAAATAAGATCAAAGATAAACGTTAGATAATTTTAAATCAGAACCAGATTATCTTTAATTTACAGAATAACAAATGGTAGGATATGCGCCTCCACTTTTTCATAAAGATATTGCGCACTATTAATGAATTTAGAAGATATTTAACCGTTCTGGCAATACTTTAGCAAAATGAAGCTGATAGGGTTAGCGCACTTGGTTTATTTAAGGCTAGTCTTAGGGACAATGCTTCGGATTGGCTTGAATTTTGTAAAAATCATACAACTACAATTCCAAAGAATTATAAAATATATCTACAAGCAATTTATACCAGTAGACTTCTCAATTTTTCACCTAAAAATGAAGATTTTGAAAAAAAAAAATGAAAAATTTTTATCAATAAAGTATCATTCTTCATTTCATAATAATTATTTATTTATATTTAATTTATTTTTTTTTTTTAATTTGTTTTTTTTTTAATTAGACGGTGATGATTTGGATACGTCTAATTTATATTTTACTTATTAAATTATTTATTAATTTTTTGATATTATAAAATCTTAACATTAAGAATAAAGTTATCACAATATTTTTTACAAAATTTTCAGCTTTTAGTCAATTAAACCAGCTAATCTTATTTTAATTTATTACAAACCAACACTAACGTTTTCAATGTTTTTTTTCCCAGGTAGGAATCTCTTTCCGATAAGGAAATAAATAATTATTTTTATTAATTCTTTGATTAATACAAAAATATTATTATAATAATCATTATAAAGAATATTCATAATAAATTTATAATATTTAGCATTTTTTTACAAGTAATAAATTTAGAAATTTATTTAGGAATTATCTTTTATCTATATAATGATTATTATTATTTGTAATTATTATAATTATACTTATCATAAAAAAGAATTTTATTTCATAATATAAACACATTAAATAATTAATGAATTATTTGCTAGTGGAAAAATACAAAAGTTCATATCTGCTCCAGTGCAAAAAGATTTTGTCTATATAAAAGTTTTGAATTTTTCAATAATATATTGATAATTTTTTTATATAATATAAAGTATATTTTTAATCTATCTTTTTATAAGTTTTAATATAAAATTTAATAAAGCAAAACTTTTCGAATTAAATATATATATATGTATGTATATATATATATATTATTTTTTAAAAAAAATAGATTTTAAATATTTTCGAATGTATGTAATTTTATAATTTAGATACCAAGTTATATATATTATAAATCATTTAAGCTTTTGGTTAATTTGTTAGTGAACTCCTTAATTTTTTGTATTCTTTCGGGGGATAACTATTTCTGGTTTTTCATATCATACCATACCTCAAGAAGAAAAATTCCGTTATCTGCTTGACGTAAATTCATCATCTAATGTAAAATTTATCATTATCATTTAAATAAACGTTTTTAAGAACGTCTTTTCTTGGTTAATCATTTCATTTATCTAGCGTAAAGATTAATGTAATGAAAAAGTAAACCGCTTATAATTTGTATTACGCACAAATGAAAAGTAAAAAAAATTTTTTTATTCCATAAAAAAATGAAATGCAAGAACGAGCCTTTTCATGTTTAATTCCAAAAAATGTACAATATCGTTTTTCTACCCGAAAGCTTAACATAAATGATTAAATAATTTATACTAATTTGTTAAATTCCGTTGACTTATGATATGATCTAAAATGATTTTTATCCTATTGTATTAGAAATATATAATATTTATTATAATAAAACATTGGTTTTTAATATAACACAAATTCGAAATTACGATAATATTGAATTTAACGCATTCAAAATACATTTAGCCAAAAATAAGTTTTATAATCACCTTTATAGTGAAAGAAATATTTAATTAAAAATTTTTTTTTTTATAACTATTACATTATATTACTTCTAATAATTAATTGAAATCAGTATCTCCATTTTCATTTGCTTTATTCAATTAGTATAATGCTTTTACAATATCTTTCTTAGTCCCACATCCTTCATAAAAGCATTGTATATTGGCTATTAGTATTATCATTTTCTGCAGCTTTTTTATACCATTTAAATGTTTTTGCTTGATCAATATTAATTCCCCAACTATTTTTATAGCAATTTCCTATATTACTTATTTTAATATTAAATCATCAGCTAACCTACGTAAACCTAAGTCTGTATAATTTATAATATTTTATCAAAATATTTCTACTGTGTAGGTCACAATGAACTAAGTTATTTAAATGTAAGAAATAATAATTTATAATCTAAATAAAACAAACATACCTCTTTGAGAATCCAGATATATCATATCTAGAATCATTTATTTCTTTCAAAACAAATTTAATACCTACATAAGAATATTTCCAACCTGTTTATTAAAATTCCAATACCATTTCATGTCATTTTTTAATATAGCAGAATACACAGATCCACACTCGCCATCCGTTATGTGTTTGATATCTCGAAAATTATCATAAGGTTTCCATTGTATAATATATTCTGGATCATTTATTTAAGGATTTTTGATAATCTTATCAATTTCGATGTTCTCACTAGACCAAGTTCCGAACTCTCGACTAAAATGTTATTTATTACACAACTCACAATCAGATTTTAATGCTCATTATAATAATATTGGAAGAATGACAGCTGTACAATACACTATTTCTTTTTCTTGAGACGTGAAAAATAAAAGAAATATTCGTTAGTGAAAACTTTTTAAAATTTACAAATGCATTTATTGAGGTAATTTTATAAGTGTTATACTGGAAAATAAGGTGCATTTAAAGAGGGAATGCACTTATAGAGGGTGCATTTATAGAGAGTTGACTTGTAGCTATTGTAATAGAAGTAAAGGATTACTTATTAAAGATCCAGAGACATGTTTTGCAAAAGTTAGTGATAAATAATAATTGTTATTCTTATTTATTTTAATTTATTAACAATTTTCTATATTTCTTAAATTTCGGTATCAAAAACGAAGAAAATCATGAAGAACCAGGGATTTATGGAAGAGTTATGATATTAAAGTTTGTTTCATATATTATTCCTTGATTTCTTATGCCTATTTCAAATTATTATTTGTTTATATATTTTGTTGTATAAATTAATTGTGTATTATAATAAGAAAATATAATATTTTTTTTTGAATAATACTATGCCATAGTGTAAAATCTCCGATATCAAATTTTTTTAAAAAAATGTAGATTACTAAAGAATATTATTTTAAGCGCAAAAAACTCATCCTCAAAAAGTCAGTGCAGTTATTTTAAAATGCAGATTATTGAAGAGCATTTATTTAAATGAAAAAATTAGTGAAGTGGTAATAGTAATAAAATAAAATTTCCTTGAAAGTTAAAATAATATATACTACTACTAATAATTAATAATAATCCAAACCCACTGGTAATAATGCCTACTTCTATTAATACTTGGATATCTAATGATTTAAATAAATCGTAAAAATAAATAAATGAAAATGAAATGAATAAATTTTAATAAATTTGAATCTTGTCAATTATTACTTAGTAGTAGAACTAGTAGTAGCAGCTCCAGTGAAGAAAAGAAGTAGATAAAGCTGATACAATTGAAAATATGATGCTTGTTATTTTTATTTTCTTTTACATAAATGAAAAAAATATATTTATTTTTAAATAAGATCGCAAAAACTAAATGATCTTCGTGTTTTTTTTTAGTGAAATAAATTTTCGTATTTTTTCACGGAATTTTTTTTTTGATAGTGACAATCAAATTATTTTCGTTATATTTTAGATGCATGATCTTTGACAAGGCGACATCGTATTTTAATAAATTATAGCAGATTATCTCACTACACAATGTTGCTTCTTAGTAGGTAATAGTCAAAAGTCTATATATATTTTATTTAATTTAGTTAAAGTTTTTTTTTGTTAGTAAAATAAACGAATAACAAGAAAAAATAAAATAAAATAACATTATAGAGTTTTCGCAGGGTAGGGTTGATGAAAATACCATCACCAGTGGTAATTGGGTTTACGTAGGCAAAGTTAGGGTTAGGGATCAAGGAATTAAAGAATGATTTTTATAGAAATTAAGTAAAATATGTTATTTGGTAACTTATCTTATAGGATCAAAAAATTTATTTGTTAAATTTACTATTTTTTTTTTTTGGATTCCGTTTTATCAATAAATATTATATTATATATCCCCGATCTTTATTAATGAAATTGTCCGGTATTTACATAGATCATGAATTAAAAATAAATATAAAATAATCAAATATTTATATTATTTTATTATAATATTTTCTTTGTCCAAATTAATGCATTCTATAGATTCTTGGAATTCACAATCAAATCGTTTTTTTTGCTTGATTTTGAATTTCTTTTTCCCATTCAATACATTCTTGTGGTTCTTTAGAATCAATATCATAAGGTATAACATTCGAAGTAGATGTTTCATTAAATTAATATAATTAAAATCATGAGATTTTCCAGATTTTATATCTTCTAATGAATCATGTAATCCATGAAGAGTATGAATACTTCGACTAATATAGCAAGATTGCGGATGAGATATACTTGACAATAGAGATGATTCATGTTTTGAGATTTGATTGTTTTTAATTGATTTCCATCTATTGTTGAGCACAGTCATTTATTTCATTATGTAATTTACCACCATTATTATCGAAAACAAATTTTAAAAATTGTTATAAATTACAATAGACCATTTTGGATTTTGTATTCAAATTCCATTATTTATTCTCAAAAATAAGTAAAATAATAAAATGTAATAATAAAAAAAATTATAAAACAAA